TCCCCCTAAAAAACTTAATTTCTAGACTTAGACATTACTCCCTTTCCTACGGTCTACAATGCAGCCAAACTCACCTTCTTTCTTACTTACTTACTTCTCTATACTTTGGCACTGGCTTGTTGTCCACATGCCTACAATGTACTCCTTTCCTCCCTCCTGCCTTCTGCCTCTTACATCCTTTATTTTCTTTAAGATTCAGTTCAAGCACCACATTCCACTTGAAACTTTTCCTGATACCCCCAACTACTAGTGCTCCCCCACCTAAAATTTCCTCGTATTTATTCTGAACATACTTATTTAGGATCATGTCGTCTCCACCACCACCACCACCCCCAGAATGTAAGTTCCTTGAAGGTAAGAACTCTCAATTTTGTCTTTGTATTCACAGCAGCTAGCACAGTTTGTGTCACATAATAGGTTCTTAATAAATAATTGCTGATTTATTGATGTTCTTATTTTCTGCACCTATCAAAACCTACCTATCTTTCAAGTTTCATTTCAAATGTTACTGCCTTAAATAAGCCCTTTCTTTTTTTTTGGGGGGGGGGCTATTGGGGCTAAGTGACTTGCCCAGGGTCACACAGCTAGTAAGTGTCAAGTGTTTGGTCTGAGGCCGGATTTGAACTCAGGTCCTCCTGAGACCAGTGCTCTATCCACTGCGCCACCTAGCTGCCCCAAACCCTTTCTTAATACTCCAAACTGAGTATGACCTTCTTCTCCTCTGAACACACATAGCTCTTGGCTTCAGTTCTTCTTTTTGTTTTTTGTTTTTTTGGTGAGGCAATTGGGTTAAGTGACTTACCAAGGGTCACTTGGCTTCAGTTCTTTACATCACATTAGCACAGGTACTCTTTAGGAAGCATGAGGAATCCCATGAAGCCTAGTTCCTCATCATAAAGAATTTATTAAATGTTGAAAACTGGGCATCCCAAAGTCATCTCTAGTTCAATATATTTAAAACAGAACTAATTATCTTTTCCCCAAAACTCCTTCCTCTTCTAAACATCCCTATTTGTGTCAAGAGAGCACCACCATCCTTCCAGTCACCCAGATTCTAAACCCAAGTGCCAAAGTCAACTCTTCACATTCACTCACCCCACATATCCAATTGTTTGCCAAATTTGTTTCCTCTTCCACAACTCTCTGCTTATACAGACATCCTCCTAGGGCAAGCCCTCATCACCTCTTCCTTGTACTATTTCAGTAGCCTACTAATCAGTCCCCCTTCCTCAAATCTCTCTCCACTAAAATCCATCTTCCTCACAGCTGCCAAAATAATTTTCCAAAAGCATTAAGTCCAACAGTGTCATTGTCCTGTTTGATACTGCTAGAATCATATATAAAGTCATGTTTTTAAAGTGAGCCTTTCACAATCTGTCCCAAAACTACCTTTCCAGTCTTATTTGCATGTCATTTGTCTTCACACATACTATGACTTCAGCAACGGGCCTTCTTACTGTCCCTCATACGTGGTAGTCCATTTCCCATCTCCCCACCTTTGCACTGGCTCTTTCCCATGCCTGGAAGGCACTCCTTTTTTCATCCACATGTCTTAGAATTCCTAGTTTCCCTTGAGACTCATCTCAAACACCACCTTCTACATGAAACTTCTCGTGATTCCCTCAGATGCTAATGCCTTCTCGCTAAAATTGTCTTGTATCTATTCTCATATGCATACATATGCACCTGCTGTCTCCCTGAGGGAGGTAAATTTCACCCCTAGGTGTGGACTGTATTTTACTTCTGTCTTTGTACCCCTAGTGCCTGACTTACAGTAGGCACATAATAAAAGTTTAATAATTGATTGATCATAGCATCATAGGTTTAGAGCTGGAGGCAAATTTAAAGTACTTCTAGTCAGATCCTTTCATTTTACAGGTGGGAAAACCATCCCAGAGATCTTACCTGTCTTACCCAAGGTCAGAGCGGTAGTGAGAAGGAGAGCTGGAATGCAAACTTGGGTGCTCTGACTCCAAATCCAGAGCTCTTACCACCGCATCATCCTGCATTCATCAAAATCTGTTATAATTATAATTATTTATGTGCTTGCCTGGTCCCATTCACTATTACAGCCTGGCTCAGGGCAGGGATGGCATCATTCCCATCTCAATAGCACTTGAAAATAGAAGCACTCAACAAATACTTGGTGACCTGGGACAAATTGAAGTAAATCAGCCTTGATACTGAAGCAAACTTCTTTACCTCCCCCCACTACCTCCCATACAGGAACTTCTTATGTTTGTCATGCTAGAGCAGGAGATAATCCCCAGGTGTAGCCAACCTAGGACCTACAGGTAAAGGCAAGTAAGTGGGCTCTCACCTGGTTCCAGTGAGGAGTGCCAGAGTGTGTGTGGGAGGATTAAAGGCAGATCCTGACAGGATCATGGAGGAAAGTCTGTACCCTTGAGGAGCAGTCTAAATGAGGAATCTATTTGAAACGTGCAAATGAATACAATAGGCTTAAGTGCCATAAACCTGTGCAGAACTAATTATAGAAAAGATGCAAGCTGGCAAATTTGGCTGTAAAGAGAATCCCCTGACATCAGTGGCTGAATCAGACATACGTTTCCACCAGAAAGAAAAGTCCCCCTCCTACTCCCACCCCCCAAAATAGATTAAGTTTGCAAACTTTTGATGAAAATAGGGTTGAGGTCATGTTCTATTTTGTGTTATGTTGAATATATTATAATACATCAGAAATGATAGATCCACCTGAGAGCTTACCTCCTCCTAATACAGGGGGCAGTCTTTTTTTCAGCACTTGAAACAAGTTTATCACTTCAAGGGGCTTCTTTCTATGATTCTCCTATGCACCGATATCCCCTCTAGCTTTCTGATCAATGTGTCCCTCCTCCCCTTGCCAGGTATTCACTGTGTCTGATTTACTTCCTGCTTGGCCAGTAAATGTTGACATTTAATAAATGAGGTAATCCAGTTAAACCTCCTCAAGCTCAACATTTCACGTGCTATAAAAGTAGTCTGCAGCTTTATGAATTCTTTAAGGAAATAATTTAGAACATCAAGTTATTTGTTGTGCCAATAATACTGTACATTGATAAGGGTAGAGGCAATTAGGGTTAAATGACTTGCCCAGGGTCACATAGCTAGGTAAATGTCTGAGGCTGGATTTGAATTCAGGTCCTCCTGACCTCAGGGCCAGTGCACTATCCACTGTGCCACCTAGCTACCTCTACAAAATTCCTCAAATACACTATGTAATCTGATAAATATAATAATATAAATATAAAAATGCAGATGTTGGAGCTCAATGAGGTAATATGTTTATTTTCAGGAGTGAGACAATCTGAAAATGGCTAATTAAGTTTATAGAGAGACTTTTGGAAGTATATAAAAGTAACTGACCTGTCAATAGACTTATCTCAAACTAGAACTAAGTGGTGTAAATGACCTTAATTTCCCCTCCTGCTCCACAACTGGGACACGCATGATTTTGCCATTTTTTAGACATGCTGTTCATTTTAAAATAAGCCAGTTTCTTGTGTGTATGTATATGTGTGTGTGTGTGTGTGTGTGTGTGTGTGCGTGTGTGTATCTCACAACATTTTCATATCTGCTGAGTGGCTCTGGATTTATATTTAAAGGGCAATTCCTTTCTTGCAAAAAAAAAAAAATTGGTCACTTGAGAAGCTGACATTTAAAAAAAAACCTAATCAGTTCCACCAAAAGAAGTCTCCCTGACTATAAAAATCTTCTCTACTAACTCTAATGACAAAAACGGTTTATAAATAGTTCCCTCTTTTTTTTTTTTGGCTAGACAATGGGGTTAAGTGACTTGTCCAGGGTCACACAGCTAGTAAGTGTTATGTGTCTGAGGCTGAATTTGAATTCAGGTCCTCCTGAATCCAGGGCCAGTGCTCTATTCACTGCACCACCTAGCTGCCCCTAAATAGTTCCCTCTTTTTGGGCTGTGTTTCTTTTGTAGTCTATATCTGCATCCCCCAGGCACATCCCAGGCTAATCCAAAGAATTAATAAAGTCCTATGGAGGCCTGTAATTCTATGAGTCTGAGGGTCTATCTACAGCAGACAAATTTAAATTACTCATTCTTAAAGGGATAAAGTTTTCAGCATTTCCAGAATCCACGATTCCATTGTCAAGGGTGCTCTCTTCATCAATACATATTACAACCTTTCTATGCCTTAGTAGAATAGATCCAGGGCTAGAAGGAACCTTAGATATAATTTAGTAGACTATATCCATGACTTTATAAGGCCAAAAGAATTGTCATTTACTTTGATAGTCAACCTTCTGGTGATAAGCTTTTCAGTAATAGGCTATATAGACACACCAATGATAGTCTATATTCAAATCTTTTTAAATTGTTAGTACCTGCTGGAACCTACCTTCTATCTACTAGCCTAGCCTTCAAGAATCCAGAATCACAGTCCTGTCAGAAGGAAGTAACAAAATAGAGCTTTAATGGAGAGGGCTTAAATGCACATTCTTTAAGAATGTATGGAAGAAATGTCAGTACCTACCAGTAAACTTACTGGAATTTGGTGAGTAAACAGAATGACTTTTCCTTTAGTTGGAGAAGGAAGGAATGGGTGACTTAATAGAAGAGTGATGGCTCCAAGAAAGTATAAAGACAGATCTTTCAACAGAAAGCAGTAGACAGTGTGGTACAATGGAGAAGAGGGTTGGATTTTGAATCAGAAACTGGATTCAAATCCTAACTCTGTGATTTACTATGTATGTGACCTTGGGCAAGTCACCTAAGCTCTTTGAATCTCAGTTTCCTTGTATGGAAATGAAGGTGTAGATGATCTCTGAGACACCTTTCAGGTTTTAATCGGTTCTGCAGATTCTGAAGTTCATATGTGTATGTATATGTATATATGTATATGTATATATCCATATGTATATGTACATATACATATGGATATATACATATATACATACATGTATATACTTGAGGTTTTTCTGATGAAATATAATGTAATTATTGAGCATCTCTACTTATCTGATTCTTTCTTCAGGTTGATGATGTTGATGAACCAGTCAAAGCAGGGGAAAATAAAGTAACCAGTAAGTTCCAGTCCATAGGAGTCCAAGTAGAAGAGGAGAAATGGTGAGTAAATACCCACTAACTTTCTTATTTAACATTAATATTTGGCAAGTCTTTCACAGATATTTTTTCCTACATGATCTCTGCAAAGTGGACAAATTTCCCCAGCTCTGAGTAGTTACTCAGCAACTGTATCTGGAGTGGCGATGGCTGACCCTCTTGCCCCTCCACTGTGGAGCCCATTGTATTGGGATGGACAAAGAGGAGAGATTCCCCTTCTTTTCCTGACATTATCTACATGCCGACACTCATATGCACACATATACATGCTGCTCCACTTGAAGCTGGTCATTTTATTCCTTTTCTCAGAACTATTCAGTGACTCCTTATTACCCAGTTTAGTAAAGTTCAAACAGCCTGGCATTCAATGCTCTCCATATTATGGAGTCATTCTACTTTTCTAATCTTCTCTCATACTACTTCGCTCTACATGTGCTACTCTATATATGTGCTAAACTCTGTACATTAGCCAAATGAAATGGCTTCTTGCTAAATAGAATTAGAAAGACTCATTTTCAGGAGTTCAAATCTGGCCTCAGACACTTCCTAGCTGTGTGACCCTGGGCAAGTCACTTAACCCTGTTTGCCTCAGTTCCTCATCTGTAAAATGAGCTGGAGAAGGAAATGACAAACCACTCTACTATCTTTGCCAAGAAAACTCCAGATGAGGTCACAGAGAGTCAGACATGCCTGAAATGGCTCAACAACAATAACAAACATAATCTGAGCCATCCTTCCCATGTGCCTTTGCTCACACTATTCTCTGTGTCTGGAATGTCCTCCTTTGCCCTCCTCCATACTTATTCCCTTTCCCTCCCCCCTTCCCACCCTAAACTCTTCATACTTAGTGCCTTGATGCTTCAGTTGCTCCATAGTCACCTCATTATGGACCCTCCCTCTAATGTGCAGATTACAACTCAGCCAGAAGCTCTTAACAACTTTCATCCATGCCGTTTCATAAATCCTTCATAAAGGATCCATCCGATATATTAGAGGCTTTCTTCTGTTTTTTAATTGTGCGTGGGGATCCATGCAGCTCTCCAGCTATCCATCTGTTGTCTCTCAAACTCCCTGCATGACCAGTCCACCTTTTCTCCTCATACGTTTTCTACCTTCTCCATGGGTTGAGAAATCCTACCTGGCCCTTCAAGCCCAAATCAAAAGCAACATTCCCCAGGAATTCATTTAATATCAAGTCTCCCTTGCCTCCATCCCAACTCCAAATAATACTTTATTTTCTCTTATGCACTTAAAGATAACTTTTTGTGGATCTCTACGTATATGTAATATATTCTGCCCCCACTATCAATTCCATGTCACTGTTGGCATGAGACAGGTACCAAGTCTCATCCAAATTTTTAATCTTGCTCTTCACCTGTCTTTGTGCTCTGCACATAATAAATGCCGAGTACATCTTGTTAAAGTTGAATTAAAGAAGCCCTCTGTCTTCTTCTTCCCCAGCACTATCTTGCCTGGAGTATTCTCTTAGTCTACTCACTGGCATAAGCTGGGGTGCATCAAAGGATGCCTATCCTCTACCAACTCAGGCTAATCAGTGACCAGGAGCCGAGGGGGAACAGGCTTGCTCAGCATGCTTACAGTGTGTAGACATATGCTACCCAAGAAAATCTCTCCTAAAATAAGCACTAGGAAATCACTGTAATCTTTTCCCTCCCCTTTTGCTTCTCTACTGCCCAAGGCATTTACAAAGCAGCTGCACCCTTGCAGAAGGGTGCAGAACAGTTGCCTGGCCGCTCATAAATTCACCTAAAACATTCCATCTTACTTTGTCAGCTGGCTTCCCCCTACATGGAAAGGAAAATTCAGGCTATTTGCAGGACTGGGTCTTGCCAAAGAGCCATAGGTGCTAATCCTTTTTCTAAATGAAGAAAATGAAACACAGGAAGGGTGTTATTTATATAGTGGAAAAGTAATAACTCGCATTTACATAGCACTTGAAGGTTTGCAAAGTTTTCTCCTCACAACAAAACTGTGAGGTGGGTAATGCAAGTATTAGGATCATAGGATTTAGAGTATGCTCTCACTTGGTTTAAGGGGAATGTGTAGCATGGGGCCCATCATGGGAATTGGGGGCCATGAAAATAGATGTAGGCTGAATGAAAGGTCCAGGGCAGGCAGCAGCCAGATTGGGGCCAGCACCCTGACAATGTAGAGGCAATAGGAACAGCCGACGAGGTAGAAGCTGAAGGTAGAGCCGAGTCCAGGGCAGCCTGGCCACTCTTGGAACCAGGGAAGCTAGGATGTGAAGCCCATCAAGGATGGTGGAAGGTGACAGTCAACCCGTCAATGAGCACCTGCTGTATACCAGTCACTCTGCAAGGCCCTGCAGATACAATAGCATAAATGCAACAGCCCCTGCCCTCCTGGAGGGGTGTGTGTGTATGTGTGTGTGTGTGTGTGTGTATAAAACATGAACTGTAATGATATACAAAATAAATACAAGGTAAGGCGGGAGGTGGCACTTGCAGCTAGGAGGATCAAGAAAGAAAGACTTTGTGGAAAAGCTGGTGCTTGAGCTGAGCTTTGAGGGAAACTGAGGATTCACAGAGGCAGAAGTAAAGGAGGAGTGAATTCCAGTAGCAAGGAACAGTCCATACAAAGGCACAAAGCGGGGCAGAATGGCTGCCGTGTATGAGGAATGATAAGAAGGCCAGAAGGGCTAGACCATAATGTGTGTGAAAGGGAGTCGTGTTATAAAGCTACGAAGTTAGTTTTAGGACCAGAGAGTGAAGGGCTTTAAATAATAGAGGTCAGTGATACAGAACCCTATCAGTGTAGAAATATCCAAGGACACTATGAACCAGAGGAGAGTGAATGTAGAAATTATTTCCAAAGAAAGATTGTCCTTAACTGGGATCAGTATCAAGGTATTGAGAAAGAGGCAGAAAATTAAGGTGGAGAATGGGAAGGGGACAGATTCCTGTGTCCTACTCAGCTCTGCAGACGACTCCTTACAGTTTAGTTTTCTGAATTTCACCACCGTGCCTCAGTTACTCCTCAAACTGTTCCTGCAAGCCCCTTCTCCCATTGGTTAGTTCTTCCCAGAACCACTAGTTTGGAAAAGGGCACAACCGGGCCTTCTCTCCTTCTCTGAACTATGACCCCATGCCTCAGTTGCCCCCTTCATTCAGCTACCGTGGGCTCCCTCTCTCATTGGTAGTTTTTCCAGAATTTCTGTTTTAAGCAATAGTCCAGACCAGCAATCCCTCCTTCTGCAGACTTAGTACCGCTCCTCATCTTCACTTCTCAGTGCCTCTTCCATGTGTTGTCTTCCCCTATTAGAATACAGGAGAAGGACCACCTTTCTTTTTGCTTGAATTTATATCTCCAGCCCTTAGTACAGTGCCGGGTACATGTTGTTTTTCAGTCATGTCGGATGTGTGGCTCCATTTGGGGTTTTCTTGGCAAAGATACTAGACTGATTTGCCATTTCCGTCCCTAGCTCATTTTAACACATAGCAAGTACTTAATAAATGCTTGTGGACTGATAGACTGTTGTAAGAGAAAGAGTGAGGTGCTTAAACTTCATCTTTAAACAGCTCTCGGTTTTCTATGTGGACTCTAAGTCTTGGTCTGAGCCCTTCAGGAACTGTCTTTATCATTCTGCTGAAGTGTGGCTGCCGAGTATTCCAGGCTATAGAGCTCACTCAGATGAAACTAAAGAAAATGGAAAATGGCTGGGTATGCAGGTGGAACGGCCCTTTGAACCAATCCGGGATATGATCTCTGATGTTGCTCCTACCCAGTGTCTGCAGGTAAATATTAACTCAAGCCATGGGCTCTTCAGAGACTTGTGAGGAAATCACTCCCCCATTGCAGCCACCTGAGGACCATTTGAATGAATAACTAGATCTGCTGATAAATTTAGAAGCTCCTGTAAAAGAAGAAGATAACAACAATCTAACAGTTTAGATATACCCCAAACACAAGAAAGATGGGAAGGTGGCCCAAGATCAAAGTGTTCCTACAAAACTCTCTGACTGAAGAAAAGAATGTGAGCAACTACCAAATATGTCCAAAAATGTCACAGATTAAGAGCTTAGAGATTGGCTCATTGCATGATTTTCTTTAAAAAAAAAAGTGCCTGAAGAATTGTGTTTGCCTTTTTATCTATCAGTGGGATAAAGGTGAAAGATACAGAATCAGGCAGTACTTCCAGAAAAGTTCATACACTCGGGCCTGGAAAGGACCTCAGAAGCCATTTAGTCTATGCCACTCATTCTACGATATTGATGATGAAACTGAGGTCAAGGGAGATTAAACAACTTGCCCAGAATCCCAGACAAGAGTCAGAGTCAGAGGGGGTATTTGAACCCCCAATCAGCATTCTAGCATAGCTACTGAAATATGCCTACCTGTATATTTTAGATAACAGTTGACACAATAAATTAAGGAGGTTCCTTCCAATCAACTTCTCTCTCTTGCCTAGAATTCTTATAACCTGACTTTTGAAAACAAGTAGGTTCTCTCTCAATGTGCTTTCCTTGCTAAGGGAAAGATCTGGATTCTAATTAGCCCTGGTATTTGTTTACAGTAAACCAGCTGCTGATTAACAGGATGTGATTAGTGCAAGGTATGATTGGTACGTGATGCACTTGGGAGAAAACAAAGTATAAATGTTGGTACAAAGTTGGTTTTTTTTAATAAAAAAAGAAATTAACCTTTAATTAGTTAAATGATCATTGCTATTTATTATACAGATTGACACAGGTGCCCTCACTTGGTCTGTATGTCAAATGATCACAGGTTACATACATTACCTGATGATCATATATGTAGAACAAAAAGAGACCTTCTTTCCCTATTCTCTGGATATGTCACCAGAGACCAAATCCTGAAAGAACTTTTGCCCTGGGGCCTCCAGATTGGTAATCAAGTCTCCTGGAACACTAATTCAGGAAAGCCCCAGACATGCTTCACTTCACTCCCTCCTTTCCGTCTACTTTGTTCACAGTCTGCTAGCCAGTAGCCTCATACCCTTC